AGCGGTCTTTTTCCATTAGGGTTCTCCTCCAGTACCATACGTATGAGTGGGTTTTGACTACGCCAGGCGTGCCCAGCCCAAATCAATCTTCTGTTCTTTATTGTTTCGAGTATACTGAGTTTATAAAAGAGTGTCTCTAGTTCATCATTTTTCCTTATTCTCTATTCCCCACTAAACATGTCTTTTACTGGTCCAAAGATCTTCCTCAGTATTTTTCTTTCCTGTACTAAAAGTTTTCTTTCATCACTTTTCCTTAATGGCCACGTCTCAGCTCCATAAGTAATAACAGGTCATATTAATGTGATGTATAATTGTAATTTTAACTCTCTTGAAAGTGATCTTGATCCCAGTAATTTCGCAAGACCATAAAGGCATTTATTTCCTGACTGAATTCTTGTTCCTATTTCTATTTCGATTTCATTTCTCTCTGAAAGTATGGATCCTAGGTACTTAAATTGTCTTGTTCTTTTGAAATTTCGGTTGTTGATGTTAAGAGTTGGATATAATCTTATAGTGTCTCGTCTTCCTACTACCATATATTCCGTTTTGTCCTCATTGATATGGAGTCCAACTTTCAGTGCTGCTTTCTCCAGCCGGTTTAATAAATCTTTTAGTCCGTCTTGTGAATCCTCCATGATCACCAGATCATCTGCATAAGCCAGAAGTCTTATGGACGATTCCTGGAATTTAACTCCTTCTGGCGGTGTAATATTCATCTCACAACTTTCTCTACTACTATATTAAATAAGATTGGTGACATAGCATCTCCCTGTCTTAATCCCGATTTAACTAAAATTGAGTCTGAGTTTGTATTTCCAACCTTAACTTTGACAAATGTTTCCAAAATGCTTATCCCAATCAGTTTTATAATCTTGTCCTGAAAATGGAATTCTCTCAACATGTTTATTAAGCGTTATCTATGGATGCTATCATATGCCTTTTTAAGATCTATAAAAAGAACGTGTATTTCTCTATTGAACTCCCAGATTTTTTGAAATATTTGTCTTAAAATAAATATCTGGTCTGTGGTCGATCTTCCAGGTCTGAAGCCACCTTGGTAATTGCCAATAATTTGTTCTGCTTTTGTTTATATTCTTGTTGATAGGCAATTTGAAAAAATTTTATAGGCCACGTTTAAGAGGGCTATCCCACGATAGTTATTGCAGTCTTGTTTACTTCCTTTTTTATGAATTGGACAAATCACCGCTGTCTTCCACTCTTCAGGCATTTTTTCATTTATCCAGACTTCGTGAATTACCTTCCATAACCACTTTACCATTTCCTCTCCGCCTTCCTTTAAGAGCTCTGAATGTCATCCTCTCCGGGGGATTTGTTATTCTTTAGCATGTTTATCTGTAATTTTATTTCCTCCAAAGTCGGTTCTTCACAATCCTGTGATTCTTGGATTTCCTGATTAAAATTAAAATTAAAATTAAAGGTTTCATTCGGTTCTTCACAGTTTAGCAACTTTTCAAAGTAGCTAGTCCATTTCTTTGCCAACTCTTCACTTGTGGTTATCAGGGAGCCATCATCATCCCTTAGAAATCTTTCTTTCTTTTTGTATCCACCTCTGAGATCATTCACTCGCTTATACATATCCCTAGTTCTGTGTGTTTTATAATCGAGTTCTGCTGTTTCTAATATGTTTTGAACGTATTTCCTCTTTTCACACCTCAATATCTTGCTGGCTTCTTTTTGGCGAGTTCTAAATCTTCTCAGTGTTACTTCGTTGTTAGTGAAAATTAATTGACTCTTGTCTTGCTAATTTTCTTCTTTGTACAGCTTCTTCACAAATCGTATTGAACCATGGTTTTGTTTTCGATACTTTTTTCCCCAAGACTTTCGTTGATGCTTCATTTATGCTTTCTTTTACATGTTCCCAAGTTTTATCAACATTTAAGTTTCTTTCTATATCTAGTTGTTTACTTTTAATAATATTCTGAAAGTACTCTACATACTCTTTGCATATTTGTCTGTCCTTTAGTTTATTTATATCGGTTCGTCCTTTGTTTGTTAAATTACCTTTCTTATATTTCTTAATTTTAACTTTCATCCATATACCAACCAGTAGGTGGTCCGAGTCCATATCAGCTCCCCGTAAAGTTCTTATATTCAGAATACTATTTTTGAATCTATTGTTTATTAGGACATGGTCAATTTGGTTTTTATGTCTCCCATTCGGCGAGATCCATGTATATTTATGTATGTCTTTTCGTTGGAACATAGTACTTTTGACCACCAAACCCTTTCCTAAAGCGAAGTCGATTAGTTTAGTACCATTATCGTTGGTGCTGGAATGTAGGCTGTAGTTTCCAATAGTTGATTTGTAGCACTCTTTCCTTCCTATTTTTCATTGAAATCGCCTAGTACTAATTTTATATCACCTTTTGACATACTAAACGTATCCTCTAGTGTTGCATAAAACAGCTCTTTTTCTTCTTTATTCTTATCCTCAGTTGGAGCATGCGCGTTGATTAATACCATGTCAAAATTGTCTGTTTTAATTGTTAAAGTTGTAATTCTTGGATTTATATCTCTAAACTCCTTTACTGAATGTATAATTGATTCGTGCACAGCAAAACCGGTTCCCAGTTTATGACCTTTATCGCATTTTCCGTTGAAGATGGTAGTTTGAGACACTTTTGTTGACCCGGCATCTTCCCATCTAATTTCTTGAAATGCTACACACTTCGTTCCATATTTTTCTAATTCCTTGACCAAATCCCAAGCCGCACCTGATTTGTGCAGAGATCGCACATTCCAAGTACCCCAAAATTGTTCCGTTTTCCAGTTTCCAGTCGTTTTACCATATACTCTAGTCCGAGGCTTGTTGTATGAATCCTGAACAAAAAGCTTTTTACAAGGCAGGCTCGTCAACCCTGTGCTCAACCCCCAACCTGGAGGACCAGACTACCCCAACCAATTAAGGTCAGGGTAGGGCTACTGCAGCATACTTGTTAAGGTACACTGGGCGATGGGCGCGCCATTTTCCCTACGCCAATATAAAATTATTCTAAGTCCTAACAATTATAACTTATAAAAATAGTTTGAAATATTTCTAAGTCCGGACCATAACATACACTGACGTGAAGGTGCTCAATGCAGCATAGCCAAAACTCGTCTGATTTGCCCTTGTTTTTGGGTCCCTTTTATATCTGCTATATGCAAGTGTGTGTGTAAATCTCAAGTATGTGTGTATATATGAAAATTATGATAAAAATATATTTCTTTATTGATTGTGAGTGTGTGTGCGGATTATGACGCACATGTGGTTTCTATCGCTTTGATTAAGTTATTTTTAATTTCCATTAAAAACATAAAACATTTTAATTTTCCATTAAAATCTATGTGAACAATTTCACTTATCTATGCTTGCGGTTTCGATGTTCCTAGAACTTGCCCATTAGTCTATTTTATTTATAGTTGTGGTCTTGATGTTCAAAGAATCTCCTTATAACTATATGACTACGCAGTACGCGACAATATCACTTGATGTCTACAAGATATATTTGGCAGCAGAGTATAATATTCATAATAATAATATTCATAATAGTCATAATATTTTATTCAAATGAGGTACTTAAAATGTATTTAACAATTAAGACACTGAACGAAATTAGCACAGATAATACAATATTTAAGTTACAAAATGAAACAACACATTCTTCAGGATGGTTAATTTGTTGCGATAGTACTGGTGATGCTGGTGATGCGGAAGGTGATAGGAATGGTGCTTCTAACGTTGGTGATGTTGGAAGTGGTGGCGGTTGTAGTTCTGAAGACTGCTCTGAGTACGATGAGTTTGTCAGACCATCACATATTTCTGTATTTTCTATCGTCTCATCAGTCGTTTCGTCTTGCGGTTTCTCCGGAAGATTACCAGTGGGCGGCGGAACCAACGTTTTTATAAATGGGATAGAAAACTGCATGGCATCTGCTAAATAGTATGCTTTTTTATTTCTACCAGACCTACTTGCCGGAGTTTTCATTTTCCGTGTAAAAACATTACGAAGATTATGCCATTTTTCTTTATACTCGGATGCTAAAGTCATTGTAATAAAAATAATAAATAATAAATATAAAAAAAAAACCAGGAACTCGTTGTGTTGTTTAGTAGCTATCGAGTAAATCTCGTAAATGAGTAGTGTAAGTAAAATTTTTGACCTCTGTCGACCACTGGGACTCACTGTCCCTTAGGACAGTGTGATCCGCAGGGCCGTGGTTACTGGTTAGGTACTCGCTCCAGTTAGGTCGCCTAACTAAATTACGAGTATTTACAGTGCCAACATATATATATTATTGCTAACATCTCCAATTCATAACTGTGATAACGAGATTGCACATTAGTAGTACGTTGATTAAAGTAGAAAACAGGATGAAATTTATTATTGGATTGTTTTTGGAGAAGTATTGATCCAAATCTTAAACTCGATGCATCACAATGAAGTTCAGTTTCTGCATTTGGGTTGTATAAGCATAAAATTGGTCGTTCACTAAGTTTTTGTTTAATGATTTCAAAAACCGCTAACTTGTCTTCACCAAAGACGAATACTATATCTTTCTTAAGAAGATCATATAAAGGTTTTGCAATAGTAGAAAAATTAGGGATAAACCTACGAAAATACGATGCTAACCCAATAAAGCTATGGAGTGTGCTTTCTGGTTGCATGGAATCGGATAGTTTAATATAACAGATATATTTCTGGGATAGGGTTGTACACCAGAAGAATTAACAAGATAGCAAAGGTAAACTATTTCTTTTTTTAGAAACTGATTTTTGTCGAATCTTATTTGCAAATTATATAACTTCATTAAAGATAGAACATCAGATAATATTTCTAAATGAGCTTTAACTGTTTTGGTTGCAATTACTATGTCATCAAAATAAACAACAATTTTTTTAGCTTTAATTTGCTCAGAAAATATATTATTCACATAACGTTGGAATTTACTAGGACCATTGCATAACCCAAAAGGCATTTTGCAATATTCATTTTGTCCTAAAGGGTGAATGAAGTAAACTTTCTAGAACTTTCTTCTACAACTATATGATGGAACCCATCCTTAAGATCAATACAAGTAAAATAATGTTTATCACGCAATGTGTCTAGATGATCGTCAATGAGTGGAAGTGGATACCTATCTCTTACGGTCCTTTTGTTTAGTTCCCTGTAGTCAATACATAAACGTAGTTCACCATTTTTCTTTTTAACCAACACTACTGGGCTACTAAATTCAGAACAACTGGGCCTAATAATTTTCTTTTCCAATAAATTATCAATAATATCCTGTAGTTTATTTTTTTTATTTTATTTTTTTTATTTTTTCAAAATAAGATAAACTTCTAGGGTTAAAGTAAAACACACTAGGATCCTTAAGTTCTATTTTGATTTCAGAAAAAGGCACATTAACAGTATTCAATTCATGATTTATAGTGTCTGGATTTATATATTTTGTAATAACAATATCTTTAATCTTATTTTGGGTTTCATATGGTAGTGTTGTTTCAATATCTAGCTCAGGTTCCTTAATGTTAGATTGATCATAATTAACCTCTAAATTATATATCTCACTAAATGGTATAATATCATTGCGTTTAAATTTAATCTCAAAATTTCCATCATTAATTGTAAATAAAACCCTTGGATGTGACAAAAAATTTCTACCTAACAAACAATCATAATTTATAGTGTTATCAGGTACAATATTCAATTTTACATTAATTGGTTCACTAGTATCAGGAGGATATATATCTACAAAAGACTGATTAAGTATAATAAGTTCAGATCCATTGATTCCTACAATACCGGAATTAGATGGGGGCATAAGGGGAGTACATTCTAAGGGATAGAATTTTTCTTTAAGTAAGCTTACTGGACTACCAGTATCTATCATGGCTAAAATATTTGAGACATACTTATCAGAAATTCTTAAATCAATATTAATAAAATATGCAGGTGTTACCATTTCCGTTGGTAGCATCATTGCAGCACTACTGGAACTGTTTTGAGTCTTGACTGCTTGAAATTTTGATTTTCCTTGTGGATAGGCAGTGATCTGGTGTTCAGTAGACCCACATGTAAAACAAGAACCTGGTCGACGTTTCGGTTGAGTGCATCCTGTTGAGATGTGGTCAAACGAACCGCAATTGAAACATCGAGTTTTCTTCTTTTGAAATGACTGCTTGAGATTTGAATCGGAGGTAGACAATTTAGTTGCTACTTCAGGTTGACAATTACTATTTTTGGTTATTGCTTCTGGATGTGATAGACGACTAACATTTTTGAATCGTGTGTTTCGAGAATCATTCATTTTTGTAAAAGTAACAATATCGTTTAAAAGTTCATTTTCATTAGCATGATTTCGGCTCAATAAATATAAACATAATTCACGTGAATACAACCCTTCTACAATTTGTTGTTTAGATTCACAAAAATTAAGTGCTAGCTCACGACACATACGTGACTTGTCATGAAAATATTCTACAATTGTTTCATTTCTTTGTTGGTGGCGACTAATTAACAATTTTTTACGTTCAACCATTGAAGTTTGTGTACCAATAAAAGTTTCTTTGAACAGTCTTTCGAAATGCTCCCAGTCGGAAAATGTTCGTCCCAGGTACCAATTGTGAGCGGCGCCCTTCAATTTGGTTCGTATAGTTTCCAACTTGAATGAATCTGGCCAATTATGAAGATCAGCAGTCGAATTAATGCTCTTGATCCAACTTGACGCTTCAATGTATGACTCAGTTCCAACGAAGTTCGACAATGTTTCATTGAAATCTGGCATTACATAATAACCGTTCGATATATTACTTTGGACAGATGAACCTGTCGTTGTGGAACGATGTAATAGTAATTGTTCCATCAGTAATCGATTTTGTTCAATTAGTTTCTATCACAACAGAATTCGTATCTGATATATTATTCGATTGCGGGGGCAAGCCGTTGTTAACATTAACATCGTTTGATAAAGGATTACGAGTATCATTAGGTATAGCAGGTGTAGCAACACTGGTCGTCGAAGAAAAATTGACACTACTGGCTGCACAACCGCTAGTATCAATGTCGTTAACATCACTACTTTTAGTGTAATCATGGTCGAAAGAATTTTGTAGGTTACGGTTATCCTTACCTTTCGAGTCCACGTGTTTGGCCATCATTAATTAGCAATAAATTGACTAAACAATTCGTCAACTTACTGTCAATTCACTGTTCAATCGTGAGAATCCGGAACAATAGGATGTCTCACCAGATAATTTTCTTCAAATACAAAATTTGGAATATGTTTTGAGAATCCGGAACAATAAGATATCTCCTTCGAATCCCACTTCTGATAATTGTGGTCGTGTGTCAGGATCAACTTAATTAATTAATTAATTCAGTCTCAACAATTAATCAATTTCACGTTTATTAATAACAATAAAAAAAGAACAATGGTACAAAAAGAAAAGTCCTGTAGTAGGAATGAATGAATAATAATAATAGTTGGTGTCGAGCTCAGTCGATAAGAAGTAGTGATCGACTGTGGCGCCACCAATCACCATATTATTGTACTAAGATAATAATAATAATACTACATTAATAACATAATAGACAATAGCAATAATATATATTCTTCATTATTATTGTATATTATAATATTACCTAAGTCCTTGCACATTCTTTTTTAATTAAAAAATATTCAAAATCATATTTATTTGGTACTAATCTTTGTTTTATAAAGTGATTTGCATTTTTTTTTTGGCCAAGCAGATTTATTTTCTTTGACCCAAAATGATGGCAAAACTGCAATTCCATTGTCATCAGAAAAATTTACAACTGACCACATATTTTACTGAAATATAGTAAATATTAAAATAATAAAACTGCTACACTTTAAATTATTTTAATTTTATTAAGTATATCGTTTAAATAGGTATTAATAAATGAATATAATATGTACTATAACTTAAATAAACATTAAAACCAACTAATGATAAATATAATTAACAATCTTTATACTTATAAAATATTAATAACTATTAACTAAGCATTACAGGAACTATGAATTAATGGTAAAGCTATTAACAGTTTACTGTCGAAATGAATTAAAATCATTTTTTTTTAATCTCATTTATAGGATAGCAGTAGAGCTCATGACTTAATGTATTAACATTATAAATATCTAATTCTGAAGATTTAATTGGTATATCAAATAAAATGTCTTTGTTTTGAAATTGTTTACAAATTAAAAATATTGCATCATTTTTATCTTTAACTATATTGAAGACTTTAATTATGTCACCGTTACATGTTAAAAGACAACTATCAGCTTCTGTATTTAATTTAATAGTAAATGTTTTCATTTTTAAGGTAGTATACTGGGATTCTTGTATATTTTGTATCAATGGTCTACGTTTATGAAATCCAGAAAAATTAAACACCGGTATTTCTTTTTGAGAATCTAATTTCAACAAACTTATTTCGTTACTTCTTTTAACAACTTGTATAAGTGGCTTCTCTGGCTTCCGTATCATGTTCTTTGAAGTACTCTTGTAATTCTCGAATGGAAATCGAATCGGATTTTGAGAATTAATCCGATGTCACTGGATAGAATTATTTAGTGTTACCTTTAAAAGGAAACACACTGTATAATAATTAAATACCTACCTAGAACATCTAAATATTTAATATACCTGCCTAGATACTTACATAAGTTGACTATATATTTAAAACTATAGTTGTAGAAATATTTTTGCTATTTAGTTTTTTATTTTCTTGGTTAATTAAAAATCATAACATTTATTGCACATAAAATTGAATAAAACCTGTTCACAGTAATAGTATTAAATTTATTAATTCATAATATATACTAACAGTAAGCTTTTAAGAATTAAAAACCCCTAAGAGTTATATATCTTTGTTATTAGAGTTAAGAACTTAATTTATATGAGTGTAAGCCACAACCAATAATCTGATACTTAATAAAAATAATTTAGCAGTTACTTTAGCATTATTTATTTATTATTAATTAGGTATTCCAAATTTTGAAACTTATTAAGTATGATTTTTATCCATACTTACACAATATTAAAGACTAGCCAATAGACTTGAATCTAAATAAAATTGGATGCTTATTGTCTTATGGGTAGACATCATACTTATTAACACTAAATGTTAGGTAGATAGCATATGGGTATACAGGTACTTAGCAAGAATTTTACCTAGGTACTTACATATTTGTATCTTAATATACTGTACATATGCCTGATCTTGTAGGTACAAATCAACTTGTTAACTTAATATAGGAAAATATAAGTTAAGTTTCAAGTCAAAAAAAAATCAATTTTAACTTGAAGAAGTTGCAAGATAAATAGAAAAAAAAGTTACAAATAATTAAAAATCAGATAAATTTATTTTAAACCTAAATACCTAACATAGATCTTAAATTTTGTTTTATATACCTATTTATTAAGTAATTAATTAGCTACTGTACATTATATTACTGTATTTGTAATAAACTATTATTTTACCTACAACCTATTCAGATATGATGGTAAAACAAATATTTTGAATCAATATTTAAATAACATGATTTACAGGGTTCATTAAGAAAAATGTAACTTATAACATGCCCAAAAAATTTAGTAATTGAAGAATAACTTAATTCATGCTTTGTTTTGTGGACCACTTTAGAGTTTAGGTACACTAGTAAATACATTTGTATTTATTTAATCATAGTTCATTCTAAATTCTTTAGAAATGTCTTCCATCTCAATTTAAACCATAAAATTGTCTTGTTATTATAACTTTTTTTAAATTCTTATAACAATTATTTACTGTCAAGATAACATAAATTAAATTACAAATTAACAAAGAATTTATTAATTTTTACATATTGGGAGATAAAAATGTATAGTAACTGTTTTAAATTGCATAAACAATTTATTTTTAATAAAGAATAATTTAAAAGATATACCTAATATATTAAGTATTATATGATTATTTAATATTTCATTGATAATTCTTATAGTTTGAAAAAATAATAAACTCATTATATGTTTAATGATTGTGCCCATGTGATTTTGCATTAGGCACATTCAATTGAACATTAGTACCAAGATTTCTTTTTTCTTTTTTTGGTGTTAATTTCACAATTTGCTGGACGGCCTGATGGTAGTCGTTTACTTCCTTTCGTAACTCTGGGTAATCTCCTTGCAATAGATGTTGGCTGGACTCTAATTTTTGCACCAGGTCTTTTTCGCAAAGCAACAGCTGAATTTCCAGCAGTATGTAAAAACGATTGCCACTGTCCTTCCATTGTTATCTTCTTCAAATGAGACTCTAAAATATTCAACCCTGCAGTGGATGAGCCAAACATTTAATCTATAGATTTGATTAAATCTACAATACAATGTATTGATTTATTTTTATTTCTTTATTTTCTATAATTTCAGAATCATTTGGTACATTATTATCTTTATAATGTGAATAATCTGGCTCATTATTATTTGAATAATTTAGAAAATCAGTATTATTTTATTTTGGTGCATCAATTTGAGAACAATTATTTTCCGATAAAAATGACTGGAAGAAATATGGTGAGATAGATACATTCCCCTGTGCTAAAATAGCAATTTCGTATCTATCTTTTGGGGTAACTGGAGGGAAACTTTTTGAAATTACATCAAAATGAATATAAACAGCGCACTGATGTTTACAGATTTTACCAAATTTACCAGAAAGGCATGAACAACAACCTCCCATAATGTTTACTTCATAAGTACATGATGAATCTTTTTCACTCTGTACACAATACTCATATTCTGATTTAGATACTATATGAGCTTTTCGTATTGTACTTGCTTTTTTATTAATGAATCTAAAAAGATTCTAGCAGTTCTATTTTTGTGAGTCTACAATTAGCAAAAGCCATTAAGCGCCTGCAATAATGATCTTCTAATACTGTGTATGTGAAATCTAATAAAGCTACGACGTTGTATGCTTTTACTCTTGAAAGAACAGTGTCTTATATATATAATACTTATATATTAAATCACATTGTCTAGTAAAAATAACACCATATGACTTAGCAGAGTTATTTAATAAAGATTATTCTTGTGTAGTTACAATACAGAAAGGGATTTCAGGGTTTGCATCAACGGGCATTGTGTCAATGAATCCGAATATATTCACCGATGAAGATTATTTTGCTGATTCCACTTTAAATTGTGATGATCCAATTAATCTAATTGAAACTCCTAGTACTTCAAACTCAACTCCTCAATCTTCTAAGAATGCTGATGATTCTCTTGTTTCACCTCAAATATCTCAAAGCCTGGTTAGTATTGAAGAATTAACACCAAATCCTAAAAAAATGCCAATAAAAATTGTGAGAAGGGTAGCTGCTAAACAGCACTCTACTTTGATAACAGGTTCTCCCATGAAAGATAAACTGCAAGAAAGAGAAAAAAAAAAGAAAAGAAAAGTTAACAAAAGCAGAAGCAAAACTTCAAAAAATAGGAAATTCTAAACCTAAATGTAAGTAAATTTAGTTTGGTAGTAAAAATAAAATATTATTTACATTTTATTTTTGTATTTTTTTAGGTACAAAAAAAGATAAAACCACAAAACAAAACCTTTTTGAAGAATTTGAAAATTATTCAAAACACAAATATAAGTAGAATTAGTATATATTTAAATTATTAAGATGGATAGGTATATTTTACTAACTACAAAAAAAAAAATTTCTTCAAAAAGACTTTTTGATCAATCAAGTGATGATGAAAGTGCTGATATAATGAAGATATGCGATGATGATAGTGATGATAACATCAATGATGGCAGTGAATTATGTTTAATTTGTGAAGAGTATGGTAAAAATGAAGTTTGGTATCGGTGCACTAGTTGTGGGTTTTGGGTACATGCTGATTGCAGCGATGCAGATTCACCAGAAGGCTACATTTTTGATATATGTAATCGACATTTAAGAAAAACTGAAATGAATAATTAAGTTCCTGATATTTTTATACTAAATTATACCTAAGTGTTAACTAGTTTTGTTATTATTAATTGTAAAAATTTGATGAAAAGACTTGTCTACCTAAGAGCTATACATATTATAATTTGTTTTTTTTTACCAAGCAGGAGAGAGAGGACTGCAATTTATATATTCTAT